ATTATGACAATACTTCAATTCACAATACGGTTGGGCATTCAGTTTATTGGAAATTATAATATGTTTTCAAATCATATTTATATTATTATAAGAATTTGCAATAAATTTATATTTTAATGCAAATTTTGATTTTGGAATTTTCAGTGCTTTTTACATAAATTATAAAATGGGAATTATATTATGACTTCTAAGAAATTTAAATTAATCATTTATGATTATAGTCTATAAGTCCCAACACCTAAGTTTAAAACATAAACTTCAAACACAAAGATTATATCGATGGGTACTGTTTCCCATATTTCAAAAAGCATATTCTCATGTTATCAATCATACTGTATTACGAATATCGTATTTATATTGTAGTTCATTATATGAGAATATTCTTTTGATATTCACAATTGAACGACTGTTCAAACAAAAATAAAATATAAGAATTTCCTAATTTAAAAAACAGAGAATATACTGTAGAGTATATAAAGTATATTTTTATTTTCAATTTTTTAAAATTCTATACGAATATTATAATCTTTTTTTCTCACAGAATATCCATAATTAATTGTCACAACTAGTATCATAGTATCATAGCTACAACTATGAAACTTCAATATTATTCTATAAAATATTCTGTTCAGGAAACAAAATCCCCGAAATTATGTCAACAAAATCGTTTCACTATAATAAAAATCAATATTTACTTTAAATGTCGAGAAACTATAATTTAATGCTTGAATTTTAAATTAAACAAAAGTGCAATATTTGTGAATAATTTATTTAAATAAAATAAAAGCCATTTATAGTACTTTATGTAGTCTACAAAGTATGTTATTATCATATTTTGCATATTCTGTCACCAAATGTGTGTTTATGTCATCAAATATTATCAAATCATCAAATTTTGTTCAATATTTTCCTCGTATTAACTCTATTATTGATAAAATTCATTTCATTTGTACCAAGAAATTTGCAATTTTAAATACAAATAACAGTTTTCAGTCTAAAAAGGGTAAATTGCATATAGTGTGGAAACATATTGAAAATCTTACAGTACTGTATGTGAACTGTATTTGACAATAATATATTCACAAGTCAGACTTTAATTAATTACAATTTCTGAATGCAATTTATTTCTTATACAAGTCCATAAACAACTGCATCACTAGAATATTCTGTGAAAAGTATTTGCAAAAAATTAGCATTAATAAAATTATATTTATGTCATGACATAGAAATTATAAAAAATTAGTATCAACTTAATGTAAAACATGACTACATTTCTAATATTATTTTATGCACCAAAGATTGAATGTGAAAATTGTCACGAATGTTTGTAGTAATTATTAATATTACTAATTTAAATAATTGTATGTTATGCTAATCAATTATGAATTTTGTTTTTGCCTAAATTATTTCCAAGTATCACACTACTATGAACAATGTTACTATTTAATATTTTCTTACTTCATTTCTAATTGAGATACATATTTGAGAATGACTTTCGACGTGATATCTCATTCATTTCATAAATATCTTAACGATAAAACATTTATCAGCACTCACAAGATAATTTTTCGTTCATATATCGTCAAATTACTTTATTTGACGTCAATTACACAATAATTTTATTAAAATCACTTGACTTCTTAATGAATCCGTGATATCTAATAGCTAACAAGTAGATTGACCAACATCAATTTTCTAAATACTGTGTTAGACTATTACGTCAAACTCTTATAAAAATGAGAGGTAATAATAGGAGATTTTAACAAATAATATGAGTACAAACAACTGACATTCAGTACATATACTTTAATTGATAAATGTTGACATTATATGAAATGATATTTTTATTGACAATTTGAACCACTTTGAAGTATTTCATTGTAGATAAAATAAAATACCTTAAATTGAGTTTATTTTAAAAAATAGCTCTGTTGTAATTCTGGATTTAAATCAAACTAATAATAAAAATTTTCTCTTTTCTACAAAATTAATAAACAAATGGAAATGATTTGCCACAAACTCAACAAATAATTTCCAATTGATATTATATAACTTAAGTAGATGTAATAATTTACATAAACATTTTAAATCTTATACTGTACATGGTCAAACATTTTTTATAACAGTATTGAAGACTTGATTATATGAGCATACAGTAGTGGTGAAGTAAAAATAGTGTAAACCATTTGAAAAGTGAGCAATCACAATCTAATTAATGACTGTTCTTTGCGAGAGAATCCGAGTCTTTTAAATTAAATCTAAAGGGAAATAAGGGATCAAATAAATTATTTTAAAGGAAAGGCTAAAACTATTTTTTTCACAATTTATGACTCTTTTATGAATTTGTTTATATCTTCACCTATTGTTGGCTGCATTTGTCTGCATATATGAGAAATTTGTTTATTTATTAAACGTTTAATTTAATTATAAAAATTTCAATTAGATTTGTGAGCCAAATATATACAATTATATGTTAAATAACGTCACATTTTGTGCGTTAAGTCGGACAAAGTTTGGCCATAATTTAAATAATGATTGCCAATAAAACTGAACACACATATGATAGCAATGCATATCTTCTGGCAATTATGGTCTGCCATACAATAGATCCTACATATGATTGCCGACAATATTCTCAATAACTGTCCAAAACTATACATAACTATAAGAGCATCTGTGCCTCAAAGCACTCATCATTTTGTCAAAACAATACAATTTATTGTTTAAAAGAATTTCCGAGAACTCGGTCCCAATCCCTTTCACAACAATCAAAGGGAATGGTAGCTTAACTATGGTTATGGTAAGTGCACTCATTAATCAATTTTTTATANGCCAAAACACATTCTCGTCCTTCTCCGTGAAACACGGAGTTCCCGTTTTGTTGATCACTTGGGCCACACCCATCACTTGGCCGTATATGTCCAGAATGGGATTGCATAGCATATTGCGGGTCACATAACCGGTCTTCTGGTCGACCTCATCGCTGAACCGCGAGTCCTATCAATGAATCTCACATTCAGTTGTCGAGTCATTCATTAGTTATATTTGTGATACACTCGACATCACATCACTGTCCAGTTGTCATCATTTCTCAAATCCTTTTCCCTCTATTCACTCAAATGTTAAACAATTACATCTCATATAATGCTGTCTCCCATCCGTCCGTCTCATCAATTCATCACTTTGTGCGCCAAACCATACGCACAATAAATCAAATGCCACACAATTTGAACCAAATAAGCAAGCAACTGGACTACAACACTATCACGACTAACTTTATTTAATAATATACTAACTGCAAATGTAATAAACTTCTCTCTCTCTCTCTCTCTCTCTCTCTCTCTCTCAGCAAATAGTTTAGTGTAATTGTGTAGAGATAGAGAGACTGTGTGTGTGTACTGCAGATTAGAATATAATATAATAAATATTTGGACACAGACTTAAGATAGTCTTTAAGTAATCAATTGTTATATGATTTCAAACATAAATAAATGAAAACAAAAAATCTATTCATCACATAAATAGAGTTTAGGATTTGTCGTGAACAATTAATTTATATAACATACGGATTACTTAAATTCTGATTCTGTGTTGTCTTTTGATAACATTAATTAAGAATTATGTCTAAACTTAAGAAAACAACTTAATTGAAAATTTTAATTAACTTCTAGCATAGAAACCATTTCATGTTTGCCTCAATTCGTGGTCAATTCAATGAGACATATTAATACTACGATAGTCTCCGTTTGCCGGCCATTAAAACCTCACATAAAGTCTCAGTAATACTCAATAGTGAACCATAAATCTAACATTAATTCCTAACGCCTTAATAGCAGTAACCGACCCGCATCATCATATAAAATATGTAACTTTCACTACTAATTTGATTACTAGTTATTAAACATAAATAAATTACTTACAAGTTAGTGTATATAGGGTTCACAAACATTAACCACAATAAAATATAATGAGAATGTATGTGCTACTTAAGAGCAATAAATAATAAATGGATCACTTTTTGAAATATATTTCCCATTTCTCAAACAGTACTCTATTCAATAACTTGAGTCAATTGATTCAGTATGTGATGTATTAAAATAATTAGATGACATTGACATTGATATGACCCTGGTGATAAATGAACAAACCTGATAACAATCGGGAATATTGACAGATTCGCCGCTCTCAGCCACGTAACCCACAATACCCTTACCCCAGGGTATTGTGATCTCTTCCTTTTGCTCCATTTGCTCGATAGTGGACTGACCCGAGACGTCAAACAATTGACTTATAAGACACCTATAAATTAAGAAACCATTTATTCATTTCAAATTGTATTTAGTCTCCGATTACAGGTTAGAGATTAGACATCGACAATATATGACTACAGTAGTGTAATCAGGCAACCAACATTTTATCATTAATCTATTTTAGTAAATTTCAAAAATAATTTCTAAATTTAATATTTATCCTAAATTTAAAAAAGTAGAGTTAAAAAGTTTATCAATTTAAATTCAATGAATTTATAGAGGATATGTGTTTACTCAACAAACTTTTTAATAGTTATGAATACTTAGCTTAAAAATAGTATAGACACTATACTTTAGAGAATAATCTATAATATATGTAACATATTGTAGGTTAAAGATTCTTGAGTTTAAAAATGTTCATATAAAATAAAGTAATGATATTTCCAACTCATTTAACTAAAACATAATACGGTCATAAAATAGTGTTAATGTTAAGAATAATGGCATACCGACAAAGCGTGTAAATTATAGAGCAGGCAAAATCATTTCACTTAATTTTCACACAAAATAAAGATTATATAGACTTTTCGACTGTTCTGGTCTATAAAACTGAATGGGAATATATAATAGCATTATGGAATTTAATATATAAGTTTTGTCGGCTATTACCCAGCATAGGAATGGTCAAAATCTGCACCAAAAATAAAAAAGGCAACCATTTGTCATTCATATGCTTTCTCTTTCACAAAGTGTTTGTACGAAAGAATTTGAGTAATATTTTGAATAAATTTCAAGAATTTCAAAAATTAACATTTATTACGCTAATCGTATTAGAAAAATAAAATCTATGATATTTGTGGCGAAATGTCTCTAATGTTTGAAAAATTACTTTAAATGGTTTGCTTTTGTGATCAATGGTTATGCTAATTATAGTATAAAAACACACATTAATAAATTTTATGAGTCGTAAAAGCTTTGAAAATCTAAAATAACTCAACGAATGGATGCGAAACAATAGTTTGAAATGTGATTCACAAGCAACTGAAACAATAAAACCTACTGTAGGGTAGGGTACGTACCGATTGGGATCATTTTTCTCTCCCTTTACCTGAAATACAAGACAACATCCAATGAATAAATGCAAAGACAGTGAGAAAGAGAGTAAGAAAGAGATGACTGACGAGGAATAGAGAACATCGGTCAGCGTTGGCGATGATCGAGACGTTCTTCAAAATCTTATGGCAGAGGGAACGCACGTCGAGGTCGTTGCAGATGTCTTTCACCAATTCAAATATGAGTTCCCTTTCGTTCAGTGACTCCAACTCCTGTCTGGTCTTGGAGACGGGCAGTCCTTTATTGAGGTTCTCATGTGAGCCCTTATCTGAGCCGGGAATGGGTAGGAAAGTAGGCGTGCCGTCAATAGTGGTCGAGACCATTGGCCTCAGGAAACAGCCACTCCTCTCAAATTCATGGGCCGATATCTTCCTGACCGGAGTGGTTGAGCCCGAGTTGTCAGCGCTGGGCGCACACGACGTGTAACCGGACGCACCTAAAATAGTTGAAT